TCACCCAGGCTGGAGTGCAGTGGCACAATCTTGGCTCACTGCAAGCTCCACTTCCCGGGTTCACTCCATTCTCCTGCCTCAGCCTCCCAAGTAGCTGGAACTGTAGGCGCCCGCCACCACGCCCGGCTAATTTTTTTGTATTTTTAGTAGAGATGAGGTTTCATTATGTTAGCCAGGATGGTCTCAATCTCCTGACCTCATGATCCACCCACCTCGGCCTCCCAAAGTGCTGAGATTACAGGCGTGAGCCACCACGCCCGGCCAGTCTTTGGTATGTTTTCTTGGGGACTTACACAGGGTCACGTGGAGATACAGGGGGATGTGCCTTCAGCCCATCTGTATGTGGGACCACTCTGGAAAGTGCTAAGGTAACACCTATAGTACATGAGGAAGTGATGGAAGAGATAAAAAGTGACTGAATGTGTGGATTCATCAGATGTTGAGAAAGTGTAATGCAATAGATAGCATTGGTGTGAGGCTAGACTCCAGAGAAATTTAATCATGTTACCAAAGGGCAGGAAAGTATTAAACCCTTCTTGGCTAGTGTTTTATTTTAGAGAAATACTGAATATAATTCATTATTTTGAAGAAACATATTAAACAAAGCATCTTATTAACAAGGTTATGTACTGACCCATTGAAGAAACTTTTATCATCAGAGGTTCACAGAAACCTAAACCATATATTAGGTTGGTGCAAAAGTAATTGAAATGGGCCCGACGCAGTGGCTCATACCTGTAATCCCAGCACTTTGGGAGGCCGAGGCGGGCAGATCACCTGTGGTCAGGAGTTCGACACCAGCCTGGCCAACATGGGTGAAACTCCATCTCTACTAAAAATACAAAAAATTAGCTGGGCATGGTGGCACACACCTGTAGTCCCAGCTACTCCAGAGGCTGAGGCAGGAGAATCACCTGAACCTGGGAGGCGGAGGTTGCAGTGAGCCGAGATCGTGCCATTGCACTCCAGCCTGGGTGACGGAGCAAGAGTCCGTCTTAGGAGAAAAAGAAAAAAAAAAAGTAATTGAAATGACAAAAACCAAAATTACTTTTACACCAAACTATATTTCCCCTAAGAACAATGGCCCAGTATTTACAAATTCAGTGTTCACAAATATTTTATGGAACACCGCTACCATGAATAACAAGACATGACTCTGTACGATCACAACCCAACCGAGCAGAACTCACCCTCCACTACTCATGTAAGACCTGACTGTGTATGAACACAACCCAACCGAGCACAACTCACCCTCCACTACTCATGTAAGACCTGACTGTGTATGATCACAACCCAACGGAGCACAACTCACCCTCCACTACTCATGTAAGACCTGACTGTGTATGATCACAACCCAACCGAGCACAACTCACCCTCCACTACTCATGTAAGACCTGACTGTGTATGATCACAACCCAACCGAGCACAACTCACCCTCCACTACTCATGTAAGACCTGACTGTACGATCACAACCCAACCGAGCACAACTCACCCTCCACTACTCATGTAAGACCTGACTGTGTATGATCACAACCCAACCGAGCACAACTCACCCTCCACTACTCATGTAAGACCTGACCGTGTATGAACACAACCCAACCGAGCACAACTCACCCTCCACTACTCATGTAAGACCTGACTGTGTATGATCACAACCCAACCGAGCAGAACTCACCCTCCACTACTCATGTAAGACCTGACTGTGTATGATCACAACCCAACCGAGCAGAACTCACCCTCCACTACTCATGTAAGACCTGACAACCCAACCGAGCACAACTCACCCTCCACTGCCCATATGGAAGACAGAGCCCAAGACGCATCCAGGTGCAGTGTCTCTGCAAAAAATGTATGCCAGGAATGGGGTCTGGCTTCCTCGTTGAGTGTGCTGTCCATGAATTTCTGCTAGATAGACAACATTTTGAAGGGATTTAAACGTTCACAGCTCTTGCTCCTCCTCTATACCCCGTACCTCACCACTTTCATCACTGGTCATTTTGCTGGAAGGGAAGCCCTGGTATATTCTTACATTGCTCTGGAACTGAGCCTTAGTGAGCCCAGCGTCTCCAAACTCACACCTTAATTGGTCCCCGATGGGAAGGAAAAGCTATTGCTCTTACCCCACAGTCTTCCCTCCCTGAGGCCAGAAGCGGGTCACGTAAGATGGTCTGCTCTCTGCTGACAGTGGCCTGAGTCTCCCTCAGTGTCTGCTGAGCTGGATCGTCCCTCTCCAGGGAGCTTTGCAGGGGCTGGATGATGAGACTTGGACATGGGACAAATTCCTCTCATCTGGCATCGCAGACACAGCATAGAGATATGAGCACGCGGCATGGGAAATAGGCTTCCTCATCCTTCAGGATCAGGGAACGTGCCAGAGATGCAATGACATTTGGCAGCAGTTGAGAGAACGAGTGCTGATGATGAAATAAGCAGAGGCCTTTAAAGGCAAGGCAGGAAAAATGTTGGGATGAGTATAGGAATAGAAAAACAACCATTTCTCCAGGTCAGTTCAAAGACTTAGCAACGCTCCCTGCAAACCCCAGGGCCTCATTATCACCACTCAGGGCAGTGGCCCCACACAGCACCTGCAGAGTCCCCAGAGGAAGCCTTTCCATAGGAAAGTGCTGCTTTCTGTTGTGGATTGAGTGACTGGCTGGGCCTCTCTCTCTGTTTCTCCCCTGGTCTTCAGGAATAGGAATGCCTTTTCCTTCACTGCTCCTAGGTGCAAATATGCGAGTTAAGGGACAATGCCAATAAAGTGGCCGCAGCTTCCTGGCTAAAGGAACTGTGCAGGTGTTAAAAATCCATAGATCTTCAATCCAGGCCCCTGGTAGGGAGACTCCTTTTTGTGTGGGAAGTGTGTGGGAACCCTGGAGAAAAGCCACACGTGCAGTTAGCATGCCGAGTCACCAGTCACAGAGCTGTTTCTCCAGATCCCGTCCTCTCGTTTCTATTCCCAGGCCTCATTATGTGTAATGTCATAGACACACACGCACAGGAACACCCATCACAGCCAGGACAGAAGCGCCAAGGGAGGTGCTTTGCATGAATCCCATCCTGGAGTTAGAAGCACTTGTTCAGTGCTTGCCAACTACAAATAGCCCCATGCTGGAAAACGATGCTAATTAGTATGCCATTAAAAAGGGGGGGACCACCACCCACAACAAAATGGCCATGTGCAGGCCTGAAGCCCTGCCCTGAGGACCACAGGGAAGCATGGCCGCTAATGCAGCCTAATTCACTTTGTTTGGCAGAGAGAGCAAGCTCGCCATGTTGCTGCGGGAGTCTCTGGGGAACATGAACTGCCGTACCACCATGATCGCACACATCTCGGCCGCGGCCGGGAGCTACGCAGAGACCCTGTCCACCATCCAGATTGCATCCAGAGTGTTGAGGATGAAGAAAAAGAAGACGAAGGTAAGGAGTCACAGCGGGGTGTGGTGGATGAGGGAGTCTTTGGAGCTGTGCCCTGGAACGGAGTCAGAAAAAGCCAAATCAATGTTGCCAATCCCTCAGCATCAGGAGATGCGACTTGGAGCTGACAGCACGTGGCTCAGGGTCCACTTTGGGGCAGGGAAACCTTGGGGCTGATACAAAGTCATGTCCCCTCCCCACACCTGGTGCTGGCCCCGGTCACCAGCCTGGACCCCTGACCGGAAGCACTTGGTCCGCTTTTAGATTATAAATGGATTGCTACCTCGAGAGGAAAAACACTGGAGGGATGGAAAATACCGTGTTTCTCATGCACTGCCTTGGTCCTGTGTAGATGGAGACTGTGTCCCTCACAGGGTTGGCGCCAGAGTACTCTCAGCTCCCTGCTCTCAGGGCCTCTCCCCTGCTGCGTGTCCAGGAGTCATTCCCTGGCTGCTGCTTGTGTCCTGGCAGTCAGTGGTTCCTGGATGATACCGAGTCTGCTAGAAATCACTGGGCTCATTTTCTCAGGCGGAGGCCAAGCCAGGACAGTGGCAGGGTGACCAGTATTTGAGGAAACTGTCGTGATTGCGGCCACTCAGTGGCAGGGGCAGCTGCTGATGTGGGGGCCTGTTTTTCTCCTTCTCCGTTTTGTACCTTTTTTATCTTTAAATAGTGCTTCCTAACCAGTGTTCCATGGCACAGGGTGCCAAACACTGGTGACCCAGCAGCCCTTAGCTGGTGAGGCGGGGCCTGGATGGTCACCTCCTTTCCTGAGCAGCTTCTGCTTCCCCAGTGTGCCACACAGGGCTTCCCCTTCCCAAATGCAGCGGTGATGTGAGACTGGGCACGCTGGCATGGCACCCCCTGAGTGGCCCACATGTGGGAGGTCAACCAGGGTGGCCGTCAGTAGCCCGCGTCCAGTCAGGGGCCTCCACCACCTGCCGCACACAGCTGGGCTCCCGGGGAAACTGCCATGACAGGGTCGCCACGTTAACTGCTCTCTCTCTCACAGTACACATCCAGCTCCTCCGGCGGGGAGAGCTCCTGTGAAGAAGGCCGCATGCGCAGGCCCACCCAGCTGAGACCCTTCCACACCAGGGCCACGGTGGACCCCGACTTCCCCATCGCTCACCTGTCCAGCGACCCCGACTACTCCTCCAGCAGCGAGCAGTCCTGCGACACCGTCATCTACATCGGGCCCAACGGCACGGCCCTCTCTGACAAGGAGCTCACCGACAACGAGGGCCCCCCAGACTTTGTCCCTATTGTGCCAGCCCTGCAGAAGACCCGGGGCGACAGCCGGCCTGCAGAGGGAGGAGAGCCTGCAGCCAGCAAGTCAGAAAGGGACTGCCTGAAGTGCAACACGTTCGCTGAGCTGCAGGAGAGGCTGGACTGCATCGACGGCAGCGAGGAGCCCAGCAGGTTTTCTTTTGAAGAACTGCCTGCTCAGTGTGGGCCAGAGCAGGCAAGCAGAGGCCCCCCGTTAAGCCACGCAGCTGGGGCAAGCCCACTCTCTGAGTCTGATAAGGAAGATAATGGGTCCGAAGGTCAGCGGACTGACAGAGAAGGCCCAGAAATCCCGGCCTCCAAGATGCAGAGGAGTCACTCACCTGTGCCCACCACAGCACCCGCCCATAGCCCCAGCCCGGCCTCGCCCAGGAGCATCCCAGGCAGCAGCAGCCAGCAGAGTGCCTCTCCGCTCGTGCAGAGCCGCAGCCTCCAGAGCAGCCGGGAGAGCCTGAACTCCTGCGGCTTCGTGGAAGGCAAGCCCAGGCCCATGGGCTCCCCCAGGCTGGGCATCGCCAGCCTGTCCAAGACCTCGGAGTACAAGCCACCCGGCTCTCCTTCCCAGAGATGCAAAGTCTACACCCAGAAGGGGGTCCTACCATCTCCCGCCCCGCTGCCTTCCTCGGGCAAGGATTCTGGCGTGGCGTCTAGTGAGTCCTTGCTGCAGCCCGAGGTGCGTACGCCCCCGGTTGGAATGAGCCCCCAGGTTTTGAAAAAATCCATGTCTGCTGGGAGCGAAGGGTTCCCGGAAACTCCTGTCGATGATGAGCAGCAGGCAGCTACTCCTCCAGAGTCCAAGAAGGAGATCCTGAGCACCACGATGGTGACGGTGCAGCAGCCGCTGGAGCTGAACGGTGAGGACGAGCTGGTGTTCACGCTGGTGGAGGAGCTGACCATCAGCGGGGTCCTGGACAGCGGCCGCCCTGCCAGCATCATCAGCTTCAACAGCGACTGCTCTGTGCAGGCCCTGGCCTCGGGCTCGCGGCCCGTCAGCATCATCAGCAGCATCAGCGAGGACCTGGAGTGCTACTCCGGCATGGCCCCTGTCTCCGAGGTCAGCATCACACAGTTCTTGCCCCTCCCGAAGATGAGCCTGGAGGAAAAGGCCCAGGAGGCAGGGAGCAGACGCTCTTCCATCAGCTCCTGGCTGAGCGAGATGAGTGCAGGCAGTGAGGGGGAGCAGTCGTGCCACAGTTTCATAGCCCAGACGTGTTTTGGGCACGGGGAGGCAATGGCAGAACCCGCGTCCTCAGAGTTCGTCAGCGGCATCCAGAACACCGCTGTGGTCTGCAGAGAGAGGCCCAAGGCCAGCCCCGACAACTTGCTCATCCCGTCTGAGACGGGAGATGACTCTTTCAACAAAGCAACCCTCATCAAAGGCTGCAAAATATCCACCCTGGGCAAGGCCATGGTCACCATCTCCAACACGGCGAATCTGAGCAGCTGCGAGGGGTACATCCCCATGAAGACCAACATCACGGTTTACCCCTGCATTGCCGTGAGTCCCCGGAACGTCCAAGAGCCCGAGGCCCCCACTGCCACCCCCAAAGCAGGCCCCACATTAGCCCAGTCCCAGGAGAGTAAGGAAAACAGTAGCAAGAAAGAGATGACATTTGAGGACCCCTGGCTGAAACGAGAAGAGGAAGTGAAAAAAGAGAATGCTCATCCCAGCGAAGAAGGGATTAGGTGTGAGACTGCCACGGGCTCCTCGAACGCGGAGACCAGAGCTGAGCAGGACAGAAAGCCCAGCCCGGGCGACAGGCTCAGCAGCAGCAGCGGGGAGGTGTCGGCCTCCGCCGTCACTGACAACTTCAGGAGGGTCGTGGACGGGTGTGAGATGGCCCTGCCTGGTTTGGCCACCCAGAGCCCCATGCATCCCAACAAAAGCGTCAAGTCCAGCAGCCTTCCCAGGGCGTTTCAGAAGGCCAGCCGGCAGGAGGAGCCCGACAGCCTCTTCTACTACTGCGCTGCCGAGACCAACGGGGTGGGTGCAGCCTCGGGCGCCCAGCCCTCCAAGGCTACCCTGGAGAGGAAGGTGGCTTCCCCCAAGCACTGTGTCCTGGCTCGGCCCAAAGGGACTCCCCCGTTGCCCCCTGTCCGAAAGTCCAGCCTGGACCAGAAGAACCGGGCCAGCCCTCAGCACAGTGCCAGCAGCAGTGGCACCAGCAGCCCCCTGAACCAACCAGCCGCCTTCCTGGCGGGCCTCCCAGATGAGCCTGGCGGCAAGACGAAGGACGCCAGCAGCAGCAGCAAGCTCTTCAGTGCCAAGCTGGAGCAGCTGGCCAGCAGAACCAACTCGCTGGGCAGGGCGACGGTCAGCCACTACGAATGCCTCTCCCTGGAGCGGGCCGAGAGCCTGTCCTCCGTGAGCTCCCGGCTGCACGCAGGCAAGGACAGCACCATGCCCCGCGCGGGGAGGAGCCTGGGCCGCAGCGCCGGGACCTCGCCCCCCAGCTCTGGGGCCTCCCCCAAGGCCAGCCAGTCCAGGATCTCCGCCGTGAGCAAGCTCCTCCTGACCAGCCCCAAGGCGCGCAGCCTGTCCACCTCCACCACCAAAACCCTCAGCTTCTCCACCAAGTCCCTGCCGCAGGCGGTGGGCCAGAGCTCCAGCTTGCCCCCCGGCGGGAAGCACATGTCCTGGTCCACGCAGTCCCTCAGCAGGAACCGGAGCTCAGGCCTGGCCTCCAAGCTTCCTCTGCGGGCCGTCAACGGGCGCATCTCGGAGCTGCTACAGGGTAGCGCGGGCGCCCGGGGCTTGCAGCTGCGGGCCGGGGCCGGGCCCGAGGCCGAGGAGCGCGGGGCGGCCCTGGCTGAGGACAAGCCCGCGGCCGTGCACCTGCTCCCGTCGCCCTACAGCAAGATCACGCCCCCGCGGAGGCCCCACCGCTGCAGCAGCGGCCACGGCAGCGACAACAGCAGCGTGCTGAGCGGGGAGCTCCCGCCGGCCATGGGGAAGACGGCCCTGTTCTACCACAGCGGCGGCAGCAGCGGCTACGAGAGCATGATGCGGGACAGCGAGGCCACCGGCAGCGCGTCCTCGGCGCAGGACTCCACGAGCGAGAACAGCAGCTCCGTGGGCGGCAGGTGCCGGAGCCTCAAGGCTCCGAAGAAACGTTCCAATCCAGGTAGGCGGCTGGGCACAGGGACGCGGGTGAGGAAGGAGGCGGGTGGGCGAGCTGCCCGAACCCCACTGCCAGGCTGCCCCGTGCCCGTGGGGAGAGGGCGTCCAGGCCTGGCCTCTCCTTTCCCACGGCCCGGCACCCTGCAGGGCTCCACCAGGACATCACCGCGGAGGGTTCCTCTGTGAGAAACTGCCCGACTGAGTGCCGTCATCAGCCTTAGGACCGCGAATCCCTTGGTGCTCAGCAGGGTGGAAAGGCGGGGGCCCTGATGCACACGGCAGCGTGACCCACACCTGCTCGCTATGGGGGAAGCCTGGCTCTTCTGCCTTCCGTTCCCTCACCCCGTGCCCCTCTGCTCCACAACCAAGGATCCTGTGGACTGTTCAGCGCCTGTCGAGGGATCAGGTGAGGGTACCCACCCTCATGACCTAGTGGCTTCAGATGCCCCTTGTGTGAGGTTGGTGGCCTCCAAGACTCTGGCAGCCTCTCTCAGGGATGTGGATAATGCACAGTTTGTCCCTTTGAAAGTGCAATGGTCGAGGCCCTTCCTCCACCTCCACCCCAAACATACTTGTGGACAGTCACATTTGCACACCTGCCACAGGGGCTGCCGTGCCCCTCCCCCTCCCCCACACCGCACATACCATGGTACCTGAAATGCATGATTTTGGAGACAGTCTTTGCCATTTCTCTTTTTTTTTTTTTTTGAGAGAGAGAGAGAGACTCACTCTATCGCCCAGGCTGGAGTGCGATGGTGTGATCTCGCCTCACTGCAACCTCTGCTTCCCATGTTCAAGCGATTCTCCTGCTTCAGCCTCCTGAGTAGCTGGGATGACAGGCATGCACCACCATGTCTGGCTACTTTTTCTATCTTTAGTAGAGACGAGGTTTCACCATGTTGGCCAGGCTAGTCTCAAACTCTTGACCTCAAGTGATTCACCCGTCTCAGTCTCCCAAAGTCCTGGGATTACAGGCATGAGCCACTACACCCAGGCAGTCTTTGCCATTTTTAAGAATCTCCTATCAAAAGGCACATACTCCAGAAGAGCTAATATATAAAGCCCACTGACTTGTTAATTAGAGTTTTGGGTGGCACGTGACAGTCAGTTATGATGGGCAAGGAGAAGAGGACCCAGGTCACAGCTGGTGGCCCTGGAGGTCTTGGGGTAGGTGAAATGAAAGGATGGTAAGGAGAGAAAAAGACAGAGGCAAAAGGTACCAAGAACAACTGAAGCTACTTGAGAATTTTGCCTGGAATCATCTCTGCTCTTAAGTGGCTTCCAAAGAAATTGCCCCTGCTCATTCTTTAGTCTAAGGGCTGAAAAAAACGAAATGAAACTTACGCAGAGCCCCACATGCAATTCTATGCCTTGGCTGAAGCCAGGGCGGCCCGGATTCCTGCCCTCCTGGCCTGTCCTCTGCCCTCTCACTGCCCTTCTGTGCAACACTAGGCTCTTCACACGCTCTCAGAAGCCAGGTCCCTGCAGGGATCAGTGCCCGCAGCATCTTTGGAAGTAAAAGATGGGGTGAGTGACAGATGTAGGGTCTCCCCTTTCCTACTGCTCCAGCAACTGCCCCACAGGCTTGTTCTGTCAGTCATGGGGTGGCTTCTTCCTGTTCTCCCATCACAGGCGAGCACAAACTCTGGAATGTTCCAACCCAAATGTAAGGGCTGTGGTCAGTGAACATTATAAAACATTCATCTTCCTAGAATCAAAGAAATCCACCTGAAGGGACCATGTAGGTATGCAGATGTAGTTTTATGATATGGACAGCCCCATCTGCTCACCTCATCACAGATGACAGAGCTTGGCCATGGGGATGTTAGGCTGTAAGCATGGTAGGGAATCATCATGGCTGTCAGTACCTTGACGTCTGTTATTTGCCAGGTGGGGTATGCTTCAGTCTTCGATGCTCTTTGACTCGGCTTCACTTCACCCCTCCATCGCAGAGACAGCACTTGGAGCAGGACCCCATTTAAGACAAGTCGAAAAGGCAGAGCCATTCCATGTAACGTAGCGGCTGCTGTGTCTTATGGCCAGGGCCAAGGGCTTGAAACGTATTGATAGTAGTAAAAATAACAAGCAGGAAAGCAGCTGCCGGCCTTCCCAGTACCTGGTTAATGAACACTTGTTATTCTAATCCACGCAGGCTTGGTCTTCAAAGTCCAGACGATGTGTGGCCACATGGCCACGTATGTTTCAGTGTCCCACAGTGCTTTCATGCACTCAAATTTACTGTCTTGTTTCTACCAGTCCATTTCATTATTTCCGTGGCTTTCACAGGTTTTTTTTTTTTTTTTTCAAGACTTTTATTTTTTGGTTTGGCGGTTACACTGGAGTGAAGAGGAAGAAAAAAAACTGCTTGACGAGCAGGCAGCAGGCTCTGCGTATGCTCTTGCTCTGGGCTAAGTGCTTTCGTAAATGCTGTCCTCTAGGAGTCTCTGGTTAGGTAAGGCTATTGGAGGAAAACGGTGTAAAATTAAAATGCCAGGGCAGGTGCTAGAAATGGGATTTCACGTGCAGTGCCAAGAGAAGACCTTTGTCATGAGCTGCTGTAGATCCAGGCTCCATGATGGATGTGGCATGGAGACGTGCTCGTTTCAGGTTAGGTGACCTTGTCTTGCTTATTTATGATTATTATTAAGAGAAACGGTGGCTGTCAGACGTGATCAGCATAAATCAAGAGCAACTTCTTTAAGAGAAGCTATAAAACTCCTCCAAGGAGATTCCTAACTAGATGGCTGGAGTTCACAATTATGAGAGGCGCTGGAACCAGAGAGGGACATCTTTTGTCTGAGACGGCTTATTTCCTTAGTAAAAACGAACTGGAATGATGGGGAGAATAACCTGGACCTCTCGGATTCCTTCGTAGGATGTGTAACAGCAGGAACGACCAGACATCACAATGGTTCGTTCTTGTCTTCTCATTCTTGGAGGTCCCTGTTGCTGCGTGTGCACGGGATTGGGCTTGTTCCATCGGCCACGGCAGGGTGCAGTGAATTCAGTTAGAAAGCAGGAGACTTAGGATCTTGAGCTGTGTGACCTTTGGGGAATCACTGTCCTCTTTGAGCTTCAGTTTCCTCATATGCAAGTCAAACGAGAGGATTGGTAGATAATACCATGGTCTCTGAGCTGCCCACATCATAGGAGACTATGCAGATAAGTGAAATAATATTGATGGTCATGTGATGTCTTTTCCTTAGAGCAATCTGTAGTCGGTGGGATTGATTTTCAGTTGTTAAACGTTGACCAGGTGTCTTCTGTGCTCTTAGAGCTTGGTGATGTGGAAGTTTCTGGTGTGCGGGTGCAGGTGGAGGCAGCTGGCACAGGGGACAAGGCCACCGTAAGAAGTTTGTCATCTAATTGGAGAGAAAGGGTGAAAAGCATGGGATAGAGAACAGTGAACTGAGTGCACTGCCGGATGCTGAGAGGGGAAGTGAAGAGCCAAGTGGAGAGAGCATTTAGACAAAGCAGGATTCTGCAAAAGGCAGAGGCTGCAGACAAGCGTTGGGATTGAGCTTGGTCCGGGAAGGTGCTTACAGCGGGACAGGCAGAGAGGTGCAGGGCACTGAGGCTGAGGCAGGAATGGGACCACAAGCTCCCAGCAGCAAGAGCCTGGCCTGTGGGCAACACAGTGCGAATAACTCAAGCAAGGGATAGTCCCAACAAGTAGAGCAAGACACTGGGAAACATAAGCCCAGATCGAGTCACACCTGGAACATCTGGGAACTACAAGAACAGTACACATTGTATTCTACATAGTTCTATAAGAAGATACAACATATTTTGTAGGTGGCAGTGGGGAGTCATTGCAGGCTCTTGACCAACGAAGTGATAAGGTGAGAGAAATGATGTTGCTTTGATTGACAGATTTTCATTGCTCCATCCACAGTTCCTTGCCAGCCCCTCTATGGTCAGCACCATGAAACTGTGTATAGCCCAGAGCCAAGAATGAGCCCAGGTGGGGAGGGAATGTGTGTCCTGGCCAGTGTGCATGGCAGCAGCTGAGGGTGTCAATCCGTGATACACAGTTGATGCCATAATTGCACCAGCCCAGCCCCCTACCCTGAGCCCCCAATCCTCGCACTCCCCCGTCCCCATCATCCATTATATGTTATGTCAATTCTCTTGTCTTCCTCCAGTCCCTGACATTGCACCCTCATCCTGGTGTGTTACTTCCTCGGACTCTTTCCCTTGCTTTCCTTTTCTTGGACTGGATGGGGAAGTCTGACCGGTAGATGAGCGCCTTGGCCTGAATTGAATTCATTCCCACCGCAGGGAGGCTCGGCACCAGAAAAGCCCTGCAGGGAGGGAGGGAGGGAGGGTCTGCCTGAAGAGAAGCTCCACAGGGAGGCATGGTGCTCTGGAATGCCCCAGACCTTGACCTGCCTGGACGTGAGCAAGGCCTGTTCTACACTTGACTCAGCCTGCTTGGTGCTGAGCACTGGGCTGGTGTCGGTTACCGTTGGATATTATTGATTGATTCATTGATGGGCTGGCTGCTTGGTTGGCGGTATAGTCCTAGAAGTTTGCTCATATTTTTTTTCCTGTGTATTTCTCGTATCTTGTTCTGCTGGTGGTGCTTTAAGTGCTGAGTCTAATCTGCTACTTTGTCATTCTAAGCATCAGACACTGCCTTTCTGTTGGTGCTGAGTCAACATTACTGGCTGATGGGCCTGTCTTGTGAGTTGTGACTTGCACCTGTAGTGAGTTGAGCTACCAGCTTCAGTTCCCAGAGTGCTGCACAAAAACTTGTGACTAATTGCTCCTCACCAAGGCCCGAGGGCACCGTGGTTTGCTCTGCCAACCTCTCGTGTTCATTTGGTTCTCAGGCACATCCTGGTTTTAAAAAATTCTAGCAGCACAGTGGTCACCGGTGTAATGAAAATCAGGAAGGCAAGCCGCTTGCTGTCAGAGTTCAGATTTCCAGAATGTTTCCAAGAGAACCAGCCTAGAGCCAGTTGAGAGTAGGTTCAGAATGAGAGCCTTTTTGATTACACAGTTGGGGAAAAAGGAGGAAAGTCATTGATTCTCTCAGACACCAAGAAAGCTCTTCAGATGAGAACCCCAAGGAGAGTAGGTGGCAGTGATGCTGTGGGGTGGCACTGCGGTCCTGGGTGCAGGGTTCAGAATCTCAGAGGACATGGGAGGAAGCCCGCGACCGGCATCGAGGAGAGTTTGTGGCGCTGGGGAACCTGCCTCTTTCTCATCCCTGGCATGCGAGCCACTTGCCTTTTCAGCTAAAACACGACAGCAGGCCATACAGCCAGCATCATTCTTCATCACGGAGCTGGCTCCTTGCTGGTCAATAAAATCACATGTATTGATTCATGTTCTCTTTCTCTCTGCTCTGATATCTACAGTTCCTTTCAATATTAGTGCTTCGTGCTTTTTTGACTCACAGTCTTCCTAGGGCCCACACTTTAAATGCAGACAGTGGGTGATGGAGCAGAAAGCTATGCTGGAGGGCTCTTGGGGTAGAAGCATATTCCCCAGGGAGAGCTGAGAGGCCTCAGCACTGAGAACGCCCATGCTTCCCGACACTTAACCTCAGCAGCAGCATCTGCAGACTCGTGTGGGGGCTTCTGTCTGGACTCCGGGATGTTGAGAGTAGAAGACCCAATGTCAGCTTCTCACGTGGGCTGTCAGCGCTGCAGGTGATCCAGGAAGATGGACTGGGATGGGTCCGCCACCCCTCTTTCTGCACGCAGCTGTCGGCCAGGCCTGGAACGGGAGGGGTGAGGGGTGGGCTCAGCCTCTGCTAGTGGGAGAGGTCCTGGTTGGAAGTTTCCTTGAAGTATCAGTGTTGACGTTCTCAGGTCAAATCTGGACCATTTCATGTGGTAAATCTATGTTGGCAGGTATCAGCCTAAGTGCTTTGAACATGCTGCACTTGTACATGCCTGGACCGGATGCCAGGCTGATGAGCAGGGAGGGGTCGAGAAGCAGGAGGGAGCCCAGCCCACTGGCATCAGCAGGAGGCTGGCCCTGGCTGTGTGCTCCCCGATCAGACAGGCGGCATCCAGTGGGGCACCGCACGACTCTCGCCAGGGTGGGGCTCCCCCTACACCTTTCTTAGAGCTGATGGTGACCTGACCCCACTCACAGCCTGGAAGGAGGGGATCCCTGTCAGAGACTGGGCTTGGCAGAAAGCTGGGCATCTGCTTGAAAGGTGGAGATGCTGGAGCATGCAGAAAATCTAAGAACCCTTATTTATATGGGGCCCCAGACCAAGGTCCTCGGGTCGGTCTTTGCCCAGGGATGGCATCAGTACCATCGCTTCCTGTGCCCTTTCCAGTAACGTGAGGGCACCACTCTGCCCCTGAACTGCCTTCAGGGCACTTCCCTCCATTTCCTCAGCCTGACCACATTACCCCTGTCCCAGTACTTGGCTTACCCTCATCATCACCTAAGTGAGGCTCACATGCACCTCTGGAGGGAGACAGGCGCGGGAAGAGGGAGCCTCAGCTGGAGGTGCAGGAACGGAGTATCAATCCATTCACGGGACTGATGTTCTGGTACCTAAATTCAGAAGTTTACAAAAATCCGAGACACTTGTTCATTTGTGTGCAGGAAGAAGGTATTCCTAGCCCCCAAACCACATCTAACCTGACAGCGGGCACTCACTTCCCACCTTGGGAGGGATCGGTGTGGTGAGGAAGTTCCAGGTTGCTGGGTGGCATGGAAAGGAGGCATTGGGAATTAGATACCTGCCAGGATATTTCTATGAAGCTGTTGTAGCCCAGGGAAATGTCACTCTCCAGGTGTTTTTACTTTCTCTACTCCCATCTCACATGGTGCCCTGGCATGGGTATTGGCAGGAGATGGAGGGTGGCCCTCGTCCCAGACATTTTCCCATCTGATCACGTCCCATCCGTGGTAGCCAGGCTCCAAGATGGCCCCCATGGTCTCTGCCTTCACACCCTCCTGTATTTCCCAGAGCTGGTCTCTGTGTCGAGTGGGATGTGGCAGCGTGACGGTATGTCACTTTCATAAACAGGTTATACCAGACGCTGCAGCTTCTGTGCTGGGTGCCCCTCGTGCTCTCTTGGGTCATTCCCTCTGGGGGAAGCCAGCTGCCATGTCACAAACAGTCCCGTGCAGGAGAGGCCTGCGTGGCAGTGAACTAAAGCCTCCCGCCGTGATGACATGAGCGAGCTTAGAAACGGAAGCTGCAGCCTCAGTCAGCCCCAGCTGACTCCTGAGAGGCCCTGAGAACCACCTGGCGAAAACTACTCCCAGATTCCCACCCACAGGAATATGTGAGATGAATGTTTGCTGTTTTTGCCAGTGGGTTTGGGGTTAATTTGTTAACCACCAGCCGTTTCACAGGTTCCTTCCATGGGACAGAAGCTAGAGTTGAGGCACAGAAAAGCTAAACAGTTTGCCAACAGTCAGCTAGCTTGATCAGACTGATTTAAAATAAAAAACCCAAAACTCTGATCTGGTCACTTCCCAGGGTAAGTGTCTCAGACACTAAGGAGACAGACAGTTGCTTTATTCCAGTGGTCGATGTTGCTTAGTTTTGTTAGTTGGGGCCTGCACTTTGTTGGAAACTAAACGCGATTGTGTATGTGTATACATAAGATCAAATCTGAGCTCTAAAAAGTGAGGTTTTGGCCGGGTGCGGTGGCTCACGCCTGTAATCCCAACACTTTGGGAGGCTGAGGCAAGCGGATCACTTGAGACCAGGAGTTCGAGACCATCCTGGCCAACACGGTGAAACCCTGTCTCTACTAAAAATACAAAAAATTAGTTGGGCGTGGTGGCAGGCGCCTGTAGTCCCAGGTACTCGGGAGGCAGAGGCAGGGGAACCCAGCAGGTGGAGGTTGCAGTGAGCTGAGATCATGCCACTGCACTCCAGCCTGGGCGACAAAGTGAGACTCCCTGTCAAAAAAAGGGAGATTTAATATGAAGCAAAAGGAGCTCAGATCCCCGAGTTCACTTTATAGGGAAAATTAACACAGTGTAGTGAGCGTTCCTTGTTGTCTTCTGGAGGAGACATGCTTCAACTGACATTTGTTCATCAACACTGCAGTCCCCTGTGCCATGCAAGAGTTTAGTCTCCATTCCGGGAGCCTTGTGTTTCAGTAATACCCAGGGTCTCTTCTGCTGAGAAAGAAAGAGAATAGATACCGGGAGAGAACTAGCAGTGCTTGTCACAGTGTGTGAAGCATGTGAAATAGTGCCTGGCACGTAACCGGTGCATGTCAGTGCTGCTGCTGTTACAAGCAAATCGACAGTGTTTTTTGGAACTCCTGTAATGACATCAAACGCTCGGACCTTTTGACCCATCCATGCTGAGGATGTGCCAGTGCGGCTCACAGGTCTAAGCTGCATGTTTCACAGGTGGAAACTAGGAGGCAGTTCTAAAGATTCCCCCGGGAGTTGGCTGAGCTAAAGCCCAAGTGTCAGCTTAGGGGAGGAAAGGTAGAGGTGGGTGGTGGGAAGTGGGAGTGTTTAGCCCTGCCTCAGATCCTGGGGTGCTTGTCATGACCTCATCTGTTACATCCACAAAATATTTAAAAGATTGAATTCAGGCTGGGTGTAGTGGCTCACACCAGTAATCCCAGCACTTTGGGAGACTAAGGTGGGGAGGATCACTTGAGGCCAGGAGTTCGAGACCAGCCTGGGCATTATGGCAAGATGTCATCTCTACCAAAAAAAAAAAAAAAAAAAAAAAAGCTGGGTGTGGTGGTGTCACTTGTGGTCCCAACTACTTAGGAGGCTGAGACAGGACAATTGCTTGAGTCCAGGAATTCAAGGCTGCAGTGAGCTATGATCGCACCACTGCACTCCAGCCTGGGCAACAGAGCAAGACCCTATCTCCAAAAAAAAAGAAAAAAAAATTGAAATTCAGAAAGACTAACTCTTTGGGCTTAATCCCCTCCTCAGGTTCTCAGAGACGGAGGCTTATCCCAGCACTATCCCTGGACACCTCTTCCCCTGTGAGAAAACCCACCAACAGCACAGGCGTCCGCTGGGTGGACGGCCCCCTGCGGAGCAGCCAGAGGGGCCTTGGGGAACCCTTTGAGATTAAAGTCTATGAAATCGATGACGTGGAGCGCCTGCAGCGGCGACGAGGGGGCGCCAGCAAGGTGAGGCAGCCTCCCCCACCACCCTTACGGGGGCCCAGGCAGGGCCCTGGGGAAGACGGCCCAGACCCAGGCTTCCCAGCCGGCTTCTGGCCCGGGTGGTGGGAAGGGGGCTTCTGTCCCAGCAAAGGGCCTTTGGACAGAGGCTGTGGAGAGAGCGCCGTGTTTCTCTTGCTGAAATGTTGTAAAGGCTCCAAAGCCAGGGGTGGGGGCTGATGATCTTGGGGGCTTTTCTGGCTCCTTGAGGCTCCCCGTCTTAACCAGCCTTTGTCCATCTTGAAACACCCACCACCGGCTTTCTCAATTTAAGAATGGCCTGTCATAGTCCAAGAATGGCCTGTCATAGTCCCACCTTGTGAGGTGTCTGAACTGACTGGCCCGTCGAGGCAGAAATGTGGCCGAGATCCCCTGGGTCCCTCCCACACGTCTCCATCCCCAGCCTGTTTTCCGTCAAGGATACTCACAGGTGCTCCCTGTGGCGTGGGCTGGGCGTGAGCAAAGGACCCTTTCTCCTCTCTGTCTGTGTGCTAGGAGGTCATGTGCTTCAACGCCAAGCTGAAAATTCTGGAACACCGCCAGCAGAGGATCGCCGAGGTCCGCGCCAAGTACGAGTGGCTGATGAAGGAGCTGGAGGCGACCAAACAGTACCTGATGCTGGATCCCAACAAGTGGCTCAGTGAATGTAAGGCCGGGGTTCCTTCCCTCCCTCGCAACTACTGGGCTCCCTCGCTCACCAGGCCTGGCGCGTAGCCCAGGGAGCCAGCGACAGAGGCTGCGTCCACCTCCTCGGTGTCAGGATGCCCACCACGTGGAGGAAGTTGCACCCAGCGAGCAGCGTACTCCCCCGGGGCGGGCGGGAGGGCCGGGGCAGCGAGGGGTGGTGAATATTGCTCTTGCAAGATTATTTCTTACGTGTCTCAGTCCAAAACACCTGAAAATGAGATTTTCCCCCCTGCTTGTGGCGGAAGATCACCCAGACATGAAGACTGTTACAGATCTGCTCCTCGGTCCCAAATCACACTGCATATCTAGCCTGAAATAGACAAGAATTTATAGAGCCCTTAATAGGCTAGAGTGTACCGTCCTAGAAAAGCTGCGCAGAGAACCCAGGAAGCAAGGAAAACATTTTTGAGTGAAAAAAAAACAAAAACAAAAACAAAAAACGACAGCCACAGGATTATTTCCATTTAATAGCCCAGGATGACCGTAACCATCTAATAACAATTCAGGACAATTTTGCTCTCTTTGAAAGATGGATTCAGTTGTCTCTTATTTATTTGTTCCTGACCATTCCATTTAGCACAAAATAAAACTTCAATCTGGTCCCAGCTATTACACTGATATAGGAGCTAATGCTGGAAGACGCAGTCTGTGGGGTCAAATACATTCCTGCCATTCAGGTTCCCTCTGCCTCCCCTTCCCATCCTGCCCTCAGCCTCTGGCAGGCCTCCTTTGTACTGCCCCTCCCCTGCTCAGCCCCCACCCTCTTCCGGTCTTCCCTGGCCAGTGCGGAGGGCCTGCAGGCAGAGGCTGGAAGCTTAGGTTTATGTTCCAAAGCAGCTGGTTGAAAAGATATTGGGGTGAAACGGTCCTGGGTCAAGCTACGGAAGAAAGTGGCAGGACTTGTCGGCCTCCCGGCCGTGCCGCCACGTGTAACCGCAGTCTCCCGGCAGCTGCCTCTCCCTAGGAATAAGGTGCTAACATTTCCCTAAGGACTCACTGGATTCTTGGGACAGTCTATGGAGCATCCTGTAATAGTAAGTTGCAGCCTTTGCAGCTGTGGCCACAGGCATACAGACCTGCTTTGGCTGCTGGCTCTCTCACAGACTAGCTGTGGGACCTCGGGTAAGACACTTCACTCTGAGCCTTGACTTCCTTAGCTGTAAAATGGGAAAAATAATGGTGACCACACCACAGGGCAGTTGTGAGGTGTGAATCAGTACCTGTTGGTCCTCTTGGTGCTTATTACACTGCTTGGCCCAGGATGAGAGCTCAGGATCTGGTAGTAATGATTAGTATTATTAGTTATTACTAATTATTATTAGTAATTATTAGTATTATCCCAAAGTTCAACAACAGGAGACATTTCCTGGCCAGGTGTGGTGGCTCACGCCTGTAATCCCAGCACTTTGGGAGGCCAAGGTGGGCAGATGACTTGAGCCCAGGAGTTCAAGACCAGCCTTGACAACGTGGTGTGAAACCCCATCTCTACCAAAAATATAAAAATTAGCTGGGTGTGGTGGCAGGCACCTGTAATCCCAGCTACTCAGGAGGCTGAGATTGCATCACCGCACTCCAGCCTGGGTGACGGAGTGAGACCCTGTCTCAAAAATACAAATAAAAAACAGGAGGCATTTCCTTCATGCCTGCTTGCATGATGCACTGAGCTGGATCTTCTGTTAGAAATGTGAGCAAAGACATGAACTCGTCCTGTGAGGGCATTTCATCGAAGGCACTAATGGGGAGGGCAGACGGGGCAAGGGCGTTGGTTACTGTCTGCCCGTGACATGCGCACGGGGCCCTGTGCTTATCCCCCCCGCTGCGCATACCCTTTTCCTTGCTTCAGGAATCCCTGGCCACTTAAAGATCCCAGGGGCCTCCTTTCAGTCAGTTCTCTGTCAGTTCTCCTTCATTTTTGCTATTTTCATTAACATTTTATTTTTAAGAACTGTTTATGCCCAGGGCAGACTTGAAAATTATCTTCATCTTACAAAGTTGTGTTTTTTCCCAGGATGGGAACAAGCTGAAACATTAATACGCACGTGTTTAGCTGCTTCCAGGAAACAACCACTTCCTTCTAGTCTTTGTACATATGTCAAAATCACTGTGTTTTTGATGCGGAGAAAGAAAATGAACAGAAAGCTACATGAAAGGGGAAACACAGATTGTTTCTTGAAGATGAATTGAAAACAGTAATGGAAAAAAGGATCAATGAGGCTGCCTGCTGACTGTTCCCTGTGGGCAAAAGGCAGGGGACTGGCATGGAAAGATCTATTTTTAGTTCTATTTCTTCGTTCTGATGCCACTTTCAAGGTTGTCCAGTAATGTGGTCTGATGTGGTCATAGAATGATGGCTCCTTTTGCTTTTTTGTTTTGGTTTTTAAATATTACACTGGTATTCTGGAAGGGCCTTCGGTCTCCTTCCAGCTCTAGTCCTGGTTAACTGCATCAGCCTCAGTGAGTCACGTCACTGTCCAGCTCTCAGGGACCTCATCTGCAGAAAGAAGACACTCTGCAGACGTCAACTCTAATCCCCGATGTTTCCACAGTGTGGCATCGTTTTCAAATCAAGTTCATGTTCATTGTCTCATTTTATCTTCACAGCAACTCAGGGCAGGCAGGGTAGGAATTACTACTCTCACATTCCTTTTAAGGACACTGGGTCAGCCGACGTGGAGGTCCCAGAGCTCGTCTCTTGCCTGGGGTTCCAGGTTTGGCTGCTGTCCATGCCTTTCCTCCTCATACTGGGAGCCTGCTGGACCCCTGGAGCCTGGGCCAGGCAGCCCATCCCTCTGCCCAGCCACCTCTAGACAAAGTAGGGGACTTGATGCCAGAAGGGGTTAATTCCAGATACTTGTTCTTCAGGCCTTGAAGGATACAGACTTTTTACTCTGTGCAGGCCTGAACATCAGGAACGGTATCTGGGTTATAATGCAGAAACATCCTTTCATAAAAGGGGGCAGAAGTATAACTGTCACTCAACTGAGACCCCCAGAAGGGAGGGACTCTCCCCACCTCAGCTTGAAGTATTTACTTGATAGTGAATAGCGTGGTAGAGTCTCTCAAATCCTGCGATGGGGATGGCTGGAGGTAGGGGAAGCGAGAATGTCCCCTTGTTAGTCAGTAGAATCTCAAACACACGTTAAGGATCTAAACACTGGTAAAGAGTGTTCCGTTCCACCCAAAAGAGGCTGAGGATCGGGCAAAAGGGAACCCTGCGGTGGCCTAAGGCAGGCGAGTTAGACCTTTAGAGCAAGGGGTAGATGTGGGGGTGGCAGCTCCAGGCTGAGCCGTCGGGAGATGCTTCGCGCCCTGTTTGCTCTGTGTCTCCATCAAGCTCTTCCTCTCTTGCAGTTGACTTGGAGCAGGTTTGGGAGCTGGATTCCCTGGAGTACCTGGAGGCCCTGGAGTGTGTGACGGAGCGCCTGGAGAGCCGTGTCAACTTCTGCAAGGCCCATCTCATGATGATCACCTGCTTCGACATCACCTCCAGGCGCCGGTAGAGGAGCCAGCCCCTTGTCCTAGCGGTTCCCTGCCTCCCCAGGACTTCAGAGACGGTGCACGCCCCTAGGCCCTCTGTGCCGGGGCATCAAAGACAATGAATGAGGATGAAGGTTGGTGGCAAGTCTGGAGCGAGCGTTGAGCGGAAGGCGAGTTTTCTTTTGTTTTCTGTAGGAAAGGCGCAAACGTCAAACACCCATGGAAGGAGAAAAGGATGGGAAGCCCGAGGGGTGTCAGCCCTGCGAGACTGAAAAAGCACTTTGAGGAACCTTACCTTGTTTGTACATAAGAACTGCTAGCGAAAGAGACCTCACTCTTCTCTTGCTTTCGTGAGAGAGGAGCGGGGTGGATGTAGGATTGCTGTGGAAAGCGAACACAACAACAAAAAGACCCAGAATGACTGATTAAGTGCCTTGCAAACCTTTATTATTATCCAAACAAACATTTATGTTCATACTTTCTTGTGTACAGATGGTGCTAGTCAAGATGAAAACAACAAAACAAAAACATTTTGGAAATGTATTCACAGCTCGTTTTCTCGTGGTGTTTTATCCTATTTCTGACTTGCTGTTTCTAAGTAAGTTGTGTTTGTAGAGCTATTTCCTAATCAGTATTGCTTATGAATAAATGTTACCTGTCTTTTATGGTTATTCTGGTGAGGCCACTCAAACAGAACAGAGAAGCTTCCTCGGCACGAGCCAGTGTGTGTGTTTCCAAAGTAGGTTTGGAGCAGCAGGTGACCTCGATGCCACATCCCAACAAGCAGCGTGGTCAGGGCAGACCCAGAAGGTTGATTGTGGGGCAGGTGCTTTAGAGAACGGGCGAGGAGCCGGACGCTGCAGCATCGGGGAGGAGGAGTCCTTTGCGACCTGGGTCCTCCCTGCTCCTGGGAGGTGGGCTGTGTGTTCTGTAGACAGTTTGCCCCCCTCAAGTCCTCACACACATATGGTTCCTTGACCCACAAATCCACAGTTTGCCTGGCCCTCAAAATTCGTATTCATTTTTATTCCAAAGACTTGAAGGAAAGCTGGAACCAGTTCACCAGAGCTGTATTTTCTAGTGTTGTGAATTGACTAAAGTAGGATTTTCCCCAGCTGAGAGACCTCCTCAGGCTTGTTCAGAGACTTCACCTGTATTGGATTAGAACAAGGGTTCTTGAGACGGTACATCTTGTCTGTTGTCCAGAGTCCAAGGATTTCAGCTCTCCTACGTCCCAAAGCCTCTATGCCAAGAAGGGACGGGCTTGTCCTCTCAGTCTTTGCCCCTCTACCCAAAGGCAGAGCTTCCCCTCCATAACTCCCACAACCCTGGAGAGGCAGAACATAGCTGAAGAGGTGGATGTCCAGGTCTTGGCTCCCAACAACTCAGGACTTCAAATTTAGGTGTTCCTCCCTGTAACAATTCCCTTAGGAATTACACCCATTTTAGTGATTGATTGATAGAATCCCCAGGTCCAGAGTGGTCAAGGGATTTGCCTGATCCAAGCTGTGGTGCTGATAGAACAGCCCGGAAGCCAGGAGTCCCAGCAGCCTTCACATCAAGGACAGTGCTTAGGCATTTGCAGAGTACGCTTCCCTTTTGCCCTCAAATGCAGCATATCTTCATGAGCCTGTTTCCAACTAGGCTGCCTTTATTAACCAACAACTCAGCCCCAGCCACTCCCCAAGGGGGGAAAAAAACGCTACATTTCTGGCTCAGTGTACCTCTGGACGCTGCAGCCCACACAGCTGGCTGAACTCGGTAAATGGGAACCGAAGTCTTGTGAGCTTCACATGACCTGCTCCTTTGTTATCAGAACAGGGTTCAGGTGGCCCTGTTGGCGGAAGCCAGCTCCCTGGGTCACGAGTCTGGCTTTGCACTTTTCCTAAGAATCTGCTTCTGTACAAACAGGAGACATGCCCACATCTGCCAGCTGAACAGGCTCAACTGCAGGGAGAGGCTGCTCTGGCATGGCTCAGTCTCCCTTCTACGCATCTCCCAAGTCTGATAAGTTTGTTGCCCTGGGAAGCAGGACCTCCCTAAGCTCCTGCGCCTTGACCCCATTCTGCAGGACAGTCGCGTGCTCTGGGCTCACCTCTGGCCTCAGCACTTGTGTAAGTGAGTTTGCTTAACAGTAATATCCTTGGAAGTGTCTGGACCCAAAGGGAAGCCAATCCTTCGAGTTTTCCGTCAGGCAATCTCTTTTGGCGGCTGGTTTTAAACGTGTAGTTCATGAAAAGTCTTTAATTGGAGATTTTCAAAGGTGAATATTCTGTTTTTGTTGGAAACAAACTCATCTGATGGGTCATCGGTGAGCTTGGTTTTCGCCGCTGCCACGTCCTCCCCTGAGGTTCCTTCCATGCTGTGCCTCCTTCCTTTAGCCAGTGACAGAGCCTGGTGCCCTTGCTGGACTGAAACCAATGGACTCCTTCCGAGGCGTGTGGCACTCGGCTTGCCTCCTGCCTGAATTTATCCATTTGTAGCAACTTTATGCTATAACAGAAGCTTGAATAAAACCAAGAGTTCTCTTACCAAGTCAGACTGGCTTCCCAAGATGCCCATCACAGGACACCTCGCAGGATCCCGCAGGCCACGGTGAAGGAGGATGCTTTATGTTGATGTTGATGTTGATGTTGTCTATTCTCTCTCTCGTCTCTTTGCTTTTTTTTTTTTTTTTTGACCTAAATAAGCTGCAAACATGTTAATTTACCAAAATTGATAAACCAGATGAAGAAATCGGGCATTTTACATTATGATGTGCTTGTTCCTGTCTCTGCCTATAAACGGACGATGTTGGTGATGAAGGAGGGAGTTCTGGCTGACCATTCTGAAGCAGTCCCGGGCACGGAGTGACCAGACGTGAGATAGTTCCAGGTCGCCTCTCGGTTTTCGTGATAGAGAACCCGAGGAGGCACGGGGAAAATGTCAAAATGTCAAAGAACCTATTTCTATTTCATTACCCACAAACGAAAGGACTAGAAAAAAATATTTGAAATTCACATTTAGATGCATAGGTCTTAATTCCTTGTCTAAAACCTGTCCTCCTCACCCCCTGCTCCAAATATATGAGGCGGAAGCATTAGCAGCAGAGCAAAACTAAGATCTGAAAACAGGCAATGGTGCTATTGTTTCCCTGGGAGTCCCTCCGTGTCGCACTGCAGGATGGTGCTGCCTGCTGCGAGGGCGTGAGCGTTTGCTTCATCACGGGCTTTCAGTTCCCACCCGCGAGCTGCAAACTTTGATCTTATTGTCCTTGAATTCCCCTCTACATCATGAGGAAGTTGTCTCTTTCGTCTCTTCCGGATTGGAAATCAGAGCACACTGCCTGTTGTTTATTCACCAGTTGCCATTCTTCACATGGGGGAGCATTAAGATGCAAATGCAGAGACGTGTCCGTCTTGACGAAGGTGGGAATCCCTGAGCCGGAGAAGGGGCTCCCGCATGAGAAGCTGCGATAAAAAGCCAGGCATCGCAGCGTGGGGAATTCGGCAGGCAGGAATCTGGCCTGGTTTGTCATAAATTAGCCTTAAACTTGAAGTCTACTATATTCTTATAAGGCGGCAGTGGCTTCAGTCCAGCCGCATCTACCATCCAGAGTGGAGGTTCAAAAAGTCTTATACACACCTACAAGTCTCACGCTTGCTGCTCAGATTTCTGACAAAATCTCAGAGTTCTGTTTGTATTGACAAAAAATGCAGTTGTGCCCACTTGGGCGTGTATCTCATGTCCTTGTAAACCAGCTACCTTCTTTGGATCGAAGGCAAGGCTGGCAAGTCTGCGGATTTGTTCAGTGCAAACACAGCCGCCTATATCATTGGCCACTGCTGATTACATTGAGTGTTTCTAGGTTTTTTAGGTTTCTTATTCCAAAAAGGCTTTTAGACTGTAAAATGACTAAAGATGAGTCAATTTCCAGACTAAAAACGAAGGAGTCCTGCCTTTACTCATTGTTCTTTCCTGCTGGACTAGTAACCCGCTCTTGGAGCACACACAGAGTCCCTCGCTTCTAAAGACAATACGTCTTAAACCCTGAAACCTTGCCAGTGAGAAAGAGGTTGAAAGTCCTGTTGGCTATTAGCTGAGGCTAAGCCGTCTGCTGCTGCCGTCCCTGGGGCCTCCATGCTGCCACCGGGGTGTGTGGCCCAGCTGTGCCCCCACTGGAGGACACTCTTCAGTGCCACCACACGGGAGTCTGGGCGGGGAGGAAAGGCACACAGCCCACTTTTCTCTGCACCAAATGAAACCAAGCTGGGTGTTCAGTGCCACTGATGCAAGTAAATGGGTCTCAGATTTTGGGGGGGCTGGGGGGCAGGCGGTAGACATAGTGTTTCTTTGGATTCTAATATCTCTTTTTCCACCTCCAGAAAGTATCTGTCAACATTGGTGGGTAACAGCTCATAAAGTGCATCGCTTAGCAATCTTCCTGACAAAATGACACATTTTAAAATTACAGGCTGTTCATTATTTCCATCACAATGCAAGCATAATTCTAATCCAGGAGAAGCTATTGTCATTTAAGCTCATCTTCTGAGAAAAATGTTTTTCTGAAAATTCCTAGAAACTAATTTATCCCTCCCTAAACAAACACATTCTGCTTTTGGGTGGCCGGAAGCTGCAGCAACGTCCTAACATTGGACACAGTGGGGCTTGGGGCAGCATCCAGCCCTCAATGCATACAATTCTTATTCTCTAAACACAGCTGCTCCCAAGGTCCACACGTGTGGAGGCGAGTACGGAAGCACCACACTCACACATCTATTCCATGCATACATAGAAATTACCTTCAACACTAAAGAAGCTTCCTTCTTTCATTCCCTATCCTGCTAACAGCCCACACTGTCATAGTTGATTTATGAAGAAGTTAAAATTTATGTGTGAACTCAGGATGTTGTTTTACAGCGTTGCGTGTGTTCTCTCATTTACGTATGCGTCGCGGTTGGAAATGTTATCCACGTGCCGTGCATCGAGGTGGAGGTTTGCTGGATCTGTCTGTGGCTATTTTTTTTCCATGTTTTTCTCACTCAAGCAAAGTCTGTTAGTGGAGACATGCGCTGGGGGATGGGGGGAGGACAGATAAATCAAGAGGATAGGGATTAGGATCCAATCCTCAACGCACAGGGCTTAGTTCAAAATCTAAGCTGTTTGTGTAGTAAGTAGCCAAATGGGAAAGATCCCTTCATTTTGAATTTGATGAGAATGGGCTTGGAAATCCACGTCCACCGGCTTGCATGGAAGAGGATCCAGCCTCTTCCCACTCGTTCGACATTAAATTTCTGAGGAAAGTTCTGACATTTTTAGTTCCCTACATTTCCCTAAGACTCCCACCCAGCCCCTGGTGCTACCGAAGGGGGTTTGGGAAAGCAGCCAGAGTTCCTTAGCTTGGATATATAGAGTACCTGTTTTTCTTCTGGTTTTTTGTTTTTCCTCTGGAAAAACCAAAGCACTTTAGTGAGTCTTACAACCTTAAGGCATTTTGTCCCCTCACTGGATCCCCAAGAGGCAGGGAGGGGCTAGGGTCAGTAATCTCATTTGAGAGGTAGCTAAACCTAGGAGCAAAGGCCTTGAGCTAGGAGCAAGGACACTGGGCCGCCAGCTTGGTTGTGTTACTAGCTATGCAACCTTGGGCGAGCCTCTTCACTTTGCTGGGCCTCAGGTTCCCGAGTGGAAGACCAGCGGTGAGAACAGCTGCCCTTCTGGGAGAGCATAAAGAGAAAGTGGTATAAGTGATGGGAAGTGCTTCGAAGACTTTAAAGCTCTCTGTAGGAGTTGGGGGTAATCATTTACCGATGAAGAAACTGAAGTCTAGTCATTGATTGGCCTGAGTTCACAGAGTGGTTTTATAGCAAAACGGGGACTTGAGTCCAGCTTGTTGGATTCTTCCCATTAGATCACATTGCACCAGGCATACGTGGACATGAACAGATATCATTCCTCTAAGGTGTGTGTACATACACGGATGTGTGTGTACAGGAGATACCTGACGTGGTGAAAAGGCCATAGGACAGCAAACCTGAGTTCTCATCCAGCTTTGCCAGTCGTCCTGTCCGGGATATACTTCCTAACTCCTCTGGAACTCAGTTTTCTAACCTGTAAAAGGAAGACATTGTGCTGGATGACCTTTGTGGTTCCTTCAAGCTCTGGATCTCGAATTCCATGATTAGTAATGTATGTATGTATATATAAATATGCTTATCTGTAGAAACGGGCCCGTTTGAAACGGGGAGGCGAGGCCTGCCCAGGTGCATTTATCGTGCCAGAAACAGCGAATTCCTAAGTAAGTTCATAAAATCTTATTTTACAATTCAATGGTAGTGCTTAATGTTATTGTCTGAAGTCCACTGTTTAACCGGATGGAAGCCTGGTGCCATTTAAAACATTATTAGTTCACAAGTGTGTGCTGTTAAAATTCTTTAATAAAACTCATTTGTTATAGTCAGAAATTCAACTCTTCTGTACTTGGGCAGGTCCCAGCAGCCCCTTGGCAGGCTGGTTTTGTGCATGGGCTTTGCAAGCTATATAAACGTTAGGTGTTGGCTTGATTATGATAAATATGAGCAGGCTCCCTGGAGAACAGTCCAGAAAAAAGAGTTAGT